ATTATTATTATTATTATTATTATTATTATTATTATTATTATTATTATTATTGATCTGCAAGCATGTTTTACTGAAAATCCTACCGGTCACTTGTTTTCAAAAATAAATTCTTTGGGGCCAGTTACGCTCATTCGCTTGCACATTCACCACGGGTGCCTTCAGTGCACCCCCTTTCATTGTAAGAAAGCAGCGGCTGTAAGGATATAGGGCCCCTAAACTGAAAATACCGACCTCTTTACAGAAAAGTGCTGTACCCGTCCTAGACTACAGAAGATGACGTTTCCAGCTCCATAGCGTTGGGGCAAACCGCACTTCAGACTGGTGAATGTGCTCACCAAACCTTATCATTCAAGGTCTTTAATTAAATTGCTGTCCATTGGAGAGTAAATCTATCCATCTCATATTTATTCCCCTTGAGGTCCTGCATTCAAAAGGACAGAGCCAAAACTTTCTCACTGCATGATTAGTTATGGCAATCAACCTCTATCTTCTAAGTTATCCCTGTAACATTAAAAATCCTCGGGTGCACTTAGAGAGGAATTATGTAATCAAAGACAGTCTTGACTCTCCAGGGGGCTTTCAGAGCTTTGTTAGGAAACAGGTGCTAAAACTGAGTATCTATTTCTTTATTAATATTTATTTTGTTTACGTCTGTATGCATGTCCTTACGTGTGCCATGTTTGTACCGTATCTGTGAAGACCAGAGGAGGGCATCACACCTTCCGGAACTGGAATTGCAGGCAGTTGTGAGCTGCCCCATGAGGGGGGACGTACAGTGGAGAATAAACTGTGGATGCTCCACATCGCTTGTGTCGGCCTCTAGTTTGTGGAGAAAGGTATAAGGAGAGGCTGAGGTGGTGTTGACTCGCTGTTCGTACAGACAGCAGAACTCAAGATTAAGAGTGCAAACAAGATGTCTGCTTACAAGCACTTTCTGGAACCCAGAGTCCTTCAATACATAGGAAAAACTAGACAGTAAGGAGGAAGAAAACATGGTAGGAACCTCTCGTGTCCAACACTCAGCACCGAGACAGGGAAAATCCATGATTCAGCCAGTATAATAATGCTAGGACAGGACACATACTCAGCATCTTTGGGGAAGCCAGGGTGGCCATTTTCCTCCACTGGGTATCAGATGTCATATCCAACGTGAGTACAGGGCAAATGGGGATTAGATAAACCACAAACCCATTCGCCTGCAGGTTCACTCACGAGGGACCTATTGCCTGCATGCAGTGCCTGCTGAGACCAGAAAAGGGAGCTGGGTAGTTCAGCGTCCACTGGGAGTGCTGGGAACCAACTAGAGTTCTTCATGAAAAGCTGAGTGAGAAATACAAACAAAACGTACCCCTTTCTATCTAAGAATGAAGTAAGATGAAACCCCATTTAAAAAATGGTAAAGAAGTCACTTGGCAGAAATGTGGCTCTCAGGTTGGCACTTTTTGGAATTAAAATAATGGGCTGACAGTTGCCTTCCGTGCAGGTGTAGTTCGCTCATCAGTTGTGCCTTAACCAACAGCCTAAGAGTGTGAGGCCCAGCTCTGACCACCCAAAATGAGGCACAGGACCCCCTGATGCTGGGAATGAAAACCCAGCGGGACGGTCACTGGATGTGCCTGCCTGTTGATTTAACCCGTCCTTCTCCAGAAGACACAACCATTCTGCCTTGCTGGGCTACTTTGTATCCTGTCATTTTCTTGGAATCCCAGACCCATTTCTATCAGCTCAAGTGCTCATATCCACTAAGCCAACTCCCCACCCCCTCTTTTTTGTTTTTCTTTGTTGTTTGTTTTTCTTTCTGAGATCTTCTTTGTGTAGCCTTGGCTGTCCTGGACTCACTTTGTAGACTAGCCTGGCCTGGAACTCACAGAGATCTGCCTCTGTGCGGTACTGTGCTGGCCTCTAATCATTTTTTTAACATAGGTATCTTTAGAACAGGGATTCCATTCCAAGAATGATTTTTAGGGGGACAACTCATATGCAAACCACATGGGTCAGAGCCTGTCACCTTCCTGACAAAAGATGAGGGAGAAGGCAGAGTACGTTAAAACCTAGATGTCTCGAATAGAATGAAAAAGGCGATAAGCAGCTCAGGGATCAGAGCTGCCTAAACTCAAAGGCAGAATTTCTTGGCCTGAAATCTCACACTTGTCGAAGCCTAACCCAGTGCCCTGAAGCAGATGAAGGCACAGGATAGTGTCCAAGGGACCAGAAGAAGTTTGGACGTTCTGGGCACCTGTATCCCAGACATAACCCGGACAGAACCCTGGCCTTGCACAGGGCCTAGTCACAAAGGTGATACAGCAAAAGGGTGCCCTACCTCCCCCCCCCCCCGGACTGTTTTACACTTAGCTCACACCAGGGCCTGCAGACAGGAGCAACACCCTATGACGTCATGCCATGGCTCCTGGCAACACATTTTCCTTTGGGGTTCCTAGGGACTAGGTGGTGTGCAGGGGAAGGGCACCAGAGGCCTCTAAGCTGCCGCGATGGGAGAGGACAGAGAAGAGAGTTTGGAGGAGTTGAGCACAGACCGCCTGAAGCTGGAGCTGCTGGAGGAGATCCACCTGAAGTGAGTGGACCGTGAGGACTCCATTACTCCGCTAGGCCTCACGTGACCTGAAGGGCAGGCGCTCTGATGGCGCGAGGAGGCCCCTGTGCATGGGAATTAACGCAGGGCTCACCGGGCAGCCTCCCAAAGTGGCGGTGTTTATGAAGAGGTTTTTTATGTTTTTTTTTTTTTTTGTGGTATGTGTGTCTGTGTCCGTGTGTTTGTGTGTATCTGTGTGTGTGGTGTGCGACAGATATATGCAGTGCCCGTGGCGCCCAAAAGGGGGCAGCAGATCGCCCCCGGAACTGGAGTTACAGGCACTTGTGACCCTCCCTGTGGGTTCTGGGACCCAAACCTGTTCCTCAGCCAGCGCTCTTAACGGCTGAGCTACTTGTACAGCCTCCATTTACCTAATGGAGGCTGAGGGAATACAGGTGAGTTGCTCTGCTTTTGTAGATCAAGCGTGGAAGAATTGTCTGTAATCATGAAGAAAATAAGTGATTGATTTCGATGGTTCCTTTCGAAGAACTTTCAAAACCTAGACATTTTTTTAAAAATGGGCTCTGGGACCTTCTGTGATTTTTGAGATGGGGGGATGGAGAAATGGGTTCTTGGGTTAGTATTTTTTGAAGTCAAAATACAGGCTATTCCTCATGCTGGTATTTAGCTGGGTTCGGAGAAGCATGTAACAGTGTCATTGGGATCATTTTTAAGCATAGACACACACTGGTTCCCCAGGGAATTCTGGACTTTGGTGCATTTTAACTCCTTCTAGAACTGACTAATCAACCTGTATTTTCCCAACAGCTGTTTCTCAACAATCGTGCCTCCGATAGACAGTCTTCTTCTATAATAAGTTAGCCCTGAGGCATGAGCGGGTTATTGTTAACGAAAGCCTTTCTGACAACAGGGATGTCGTGCAGCTCTCCACGCTTGAAATACGACGCAAGATCGCAGAGCTGGAGTCCAGCCTCAACAGCGACCATGCAAGTATGCAGGAGATGCTTACACATGGGCCCACGTGCCTGGTGGCTCTTGCGGGTGCAGTGACACATATTGGGTAACAGTACCCAGCTCTCAACGCTGCCTTTTGCTGATTCAACGGTTTACTGTAAAGGCTTTCATAGGAATATAAAGCATAAGGGGAGTGGTGTAAAATATTCCCGCCCCCTGCCATATTTACTGGGTTTAGAAACTCTCAGGATAGGCAATTGTTATTCTCCCTGTTTATTAAAAAAAAAAAATGGTATGGAGGAATTTCAGTTACTTCTGAGGTCTCAGAGTTGGTTGTAACAAAAACTCTACCTATTGTTACTGCTGCCACCGTCATGATTACACCTACGATGTCAGCACACCTGACAGTTCCAGTTATGCAGTACTGTGTGGCCAACCAGCCTCTCACACAGCTGCTTAAAACCAGCTGTAATCCGGTGGTTGGCCGGATTGACTGGGGTCCCTGAGGTTGCAGTCCACTGCTGTCTGGGGTTCAGTCATCTGAAGGTTCAGATGGGCTGGTCATCGTCGAGACGACTTAAGCAAACAGCTGGAGTCTGATGTCGAAGCCCAGCTGGGCCATCCATCAAGTACAATCCTGAGCAAGCATCCTAAATGGCAGGAATAAAATTAATTGCTGGCTGAGTTAAAAGGACACTTTCCAGGTTGATGTGTGGTTAGAGCCACTGTGTTCTGTTGGTGGAAATGGATCCAAGGGCTGGAGAGCAGGCACACTGTTGTCATGATCCCATTGCAGACTGGTGTTGAAGCTTAGTTGTAGAGCATTAGAGAAGCCTTGAGCTCAACCAGGACCAAAGGGAAGGGCACATGTCACTGTGACCGGTGTGATGACATGTTGTAGAATTCACAGGCCTGAAGGAGATGGCTCGGCATCTAAGGATACTCCCGTTCTTCCAGAAGACTGAAGTTTAAATCCCAGCGCCTGCATGGGGCAGCTCACAGCAAGCACCTGTAATGATAGTTCTGAAGGGTCAAACAGCCTCTTGTGGCTTCCTCACATAGCTATGTGCATGTGAAACAAACTCACACAAATGTACATGCATGTGTAGATAAGGGTGCATATCAGTTTGCCACAGGGGTCCTAAAAACAGAGCCATTAAGGGAGAATGCTGAGTAACCAGGAGGGTGCCACAGCCTTCAGTAGGAACTGTAGCTGTACTCATAGCATGAGCGATTTCCACACTCCAGTCTTCACTACCCTACGACCTCTCTCCCCATACTCATTTTCAACTGGCACGTTTCCCTTCTTCCAGAGATGAAGAGCAATCCCCCAAAGACTTCTACCAGCAAAGCTTTGCACGTCACTGCATCTGGCTCCCCCCTCTCCCAGCCTGCTCCTGGGTGGCCTGGCCTAAGTCAGGTGTAAGTCCCATCCACTCAAACGAGTCAGTGATGTTACTCCAGAGATAGACCCCTTCCTCCGTCTTCTCCTTGCTGCCCTGACCACCCCCAGCGCATGCTGACAGGCTGACTTCACTTCATCTGAAAGGCAACACACAAACTTCTTTTGATCTACCCCTTCTCTTCAGCTGACTTTTCTCTACACGCACCCTTAAACAAAAACAACAGTGGTTTTCTGTGTTCTGTTCTTTCTTATCTGTCTCTCATTTCATCTAATCTGTTTTGTAAATGGATTAACTTACAGGTGAGAGGGTGAACACAACCACTTTCGAAACATGCCCCTTGAAGCCCTTTGGCAAGGGCGCTCATGGGCAGAAAATGTGGTCTCAGTGGCTGAATGTGAATTTCATCTCCAGCCTCAGCTACCAGACAATAGGAAAGACATTTGCCCCCTCAGTTTTGTATGTTTCTTTGTTTTGATTTGTTTTTCATCCAGAGACAGAAACTTTGGCTTGCTGAGGCTTAGACATGGTTTCCCCTGTGGGGGAGGGGGTAGGAAATGAGCTGGGTTTGCTCAGTGAGTTCCCAGTTGCCGCATTCACAGTTGCGCTCACGCGTCAGTAGATTCATTTGTGTCCAGTCACCTGGAACTCCTCTTCAGGGTCACTAGTGATGCCCGTGCACTAAGTCGGAACTAGGAATCATAATCCCTGGCCTGTGCTCAGCATTGGTCAGAAGCTAACCATTGGAGCACTCTGTTCTCGTGGCCTCCGGGATGTGAATCTCTCAATTGTCCTCCCACATAACGGTCACTTGACGTTTTTCGTCATCCTCCAGATTTCTTAACAACAACAACTTGGAATTCAGTTTTTCAGAAAGGTTCGGTCCTTTCTTCTTTAATATATGTACCAGGTATTCGGTAATATTCTCCGATTACATAGGTTACATAGGGTCAGTGCCTCCCTGGACTGTTAACGTGCAAGTCTCCTTTCTACCCTGGGCCTCCCCTTGGAGCTCTGTTGAAATTTCATTTATAGTCTGGTTTTAATCCAGAGCCCATTTGCTATTAGGCCAAGTTATCAAGAGATCCAACAATCTTAGAATAGCCTTAGCAGATATGCTATTTTTTTCATATAATTTAATTTGTCTCATTTCAAAACTAGGAAAAGAATGCTTCCATTTATTTCAGACTGGTTTGATAGTTGAAGGTGAGACAGTAGAGGCTAGGGAAGACAACACAGATGCTGGCTGCCATTATTAAGATGGCATCTGTTTGAGGGTTGTACTCAAGCCAAAATAATTGCCAAAAATGAATGAGTGTAATTATAAACTAGGAAGAGAGAATTATTACAATGTTCAGTTTGATAGATAATTTCCTCTCCAGGGCTTGCCATAGGATCAGTAAATTGTGGGACACACAGACACACACATATCAGCAAGATATATGTGGGCTAGGCATCTAATTCTTTCTCTCTCTTACACACACTCACACACACACACTTGCATACACACTTGAACATACACACTCAAACACACACACACACACACACACCACACTTGCACACACTCATGCACACACACACTCACACATACCCATATGGCTCTGCTCAGACTAAGCCACTGAGCTCTGCCCTAGACAGGGCAGAGCCACCTGTGAAAGAAACACTGGCTCTAAGTTAGTTGGCCTTGAGGTGATTCAGCGGGGAAATTTATAGGTGCATAACTGGACAATTTTTTTAGAGTCCTCTTGATCAGCATTTCCCTTTATACTGGTAAAAAAAAAAAAAATACATCACCCATGGGGTTGAGAAGTTGATGGCTCCAGCTCTGTGCATGTTTTTCTCATTCTGTGATCCAGCAGCTCTCAATCTGTGGGTTTCAACCGTTGGGGGCCAAACAACCCCTTCTTGAGGGTCACATATCAGATATCCTGCATGTCAGATATTATGATTCATAGCAGTAGCAAAATTACAGTTATGAAGTAGCAACAAAATAATTTTATGGTTGGGGGTCACCACAGCCTGAGGAGGAACTGTACTAATGTGTTACAGCATTAGGAAGGTTGAGAACCACTGCTCAACTATTCTAGTCCATGGTTACATGGGCTATATGTCTATTTTTGTACCCATACCATGCGGGCTTTTTACGGTTGTATGGTATAATGTGAAGCCATGTCTTAAACCTCCAGCAAACTCTTTCCACTTACAATTGCTGTGGTTCAGGCCCTTTTGTGCTCCCATATACAATTTTCATTATTTTCTCTCCTCACATAATAACTTTCCTTGGAATTTTGATGGGGATTGTGTTGGGTCTGCAGATCATTTTCATAATACAGAGTTTTACAACATTAATTCTGCCAGCCATGAGCAGGGGAGGACTTCTGGTGTCTCCTTTAGCTTCCATCTTAACGCTTTCATAGGCGCAGCCCTTCACCTCCTAATTCATCTCTAGGATTTCTGTTTTAGTTCTGAAGCCACTCTGAATGCTTTTTTTTCTCCTTTTAACTGATTTATTTTTCAGCAAGATGATTACCACTAATTAGAAATCACATTAATTTTTGTATGTTGATCTTGTTTCCTGCCACTTTGGCCAACTGTTTCTTGTATCTAGGACCTATCAGCTGCAGTGGTACCCTGACTTCTTCCCTCCCTCTCCGCATCTTTCACATCTTTCTCTCATTTTGGTGTTCTAGGTAGGGCTTTGAGCCTTTTATTAAATAAAAATGGAGTGAGGAGGGAGGGAGTTCTCTGTGCCTAGTTGTAGAGGAAATGCTTTCAGGCTTTCTGCGCTCAGCACAATGTTTGCTGCAGCCTTTATTGTGTTGAGAAATGTTCTTTCTATTGGTAGTTTCTTTGGTGTTTTTGTGAAGGGATGTTTTGCTTTGTCAATGCTCTTTCCTGTGTCCATTGAGAGAATCATGTGATTTCTGCTCTTCAGTCTGTGTGTTGTATTACACTCAGTGATTTGGATATGTTGGGCATATGTTAATAACCATTCATTTCTTAACCCCAACTCTAATGTAACGTCCTTTGACTATGAACCAAAACCTTGAAATACAGGAATGTTACCAGCCAGCATCTGAAGGCTACCATAGGATTCACCCCACTTTTCTATATCCTACCTACCTATGGACATATTAGGTAAATGTCTTAACTAATGCCTTCTTAGTTCTGTAACTAATAAAATCATATGTAAACACACCTATGGCAGAATGTGTTATTTAGGACAACTTCAACCCATGTTCCTGGGCTGAGGTCACTCATATTTAGCTAAGAATGAACCCTCTTATCCCCTTTTGGGGGGGGGAAGAGTTGTCTTTTGTATCTATAGTAGCATAATATTAAACTGATGGATTATGCTCATGTAAATAAAAAATAAACTAGCCTCAGATTCTCAGCTTCCAGAGTACAGGGTTACTAATGTGTGCCATCATGACCAGCCTCAGCTCCAACATCTGGACAACGCTCTTCAACCTTTCTGAGCTTTATGAACTTTCTTGTTCATAGAATGACTAACTTTTAAAATGTGAGCACTGCATCAGCTCACACTGAAGTTTTCTGTGTAGCGAGCACGTAAGTGGTAAAACTGACTTCAGATATTGGATGGGATAATGGTACCATCTGTAGGGTGTTGAATGGATGTTTCAAGGAAAGAGCCACACTTCTGATATCCCACTCCCCAGCAGAACACAGTACAAGGAAACAAGAAGAGAAGAATAAATGGGAGCAGAGAGCATGGGAGAAGAGGAGACAGAAAAGCTGTCCTGAGCTCTGACTATGTGGGTCTAATCCAGGCTGCCTAGGAAATTCTGTCCTAGAGAGAAATACTTTAAAACCATCTCTTTTCTGATTCACTTTGTCAAATTGAGTTGGGTCATACTTTCTTGTACGTGTGTGTGTGTGACATTTGGTGCAGGAGTGGGTGCAGGCACTCATGTGTTGTTGGTTCATGTGAGTGATGAAGGCTGATACCTGTGTCTTCCTTGATCGTATGCCGCCACCTTTATTTATTCATTAATTTTTTTAAAGGCAGGATTTCTTAAGACAGACCTCTTACCAGAGGTCATTGACTCAGTGGGCTGGGGGGGAGGGGAGACCTGCTTGATGGATAAAACACAATACCCAAATTTAGTGCTCCTGTAGCTGACAGGGTCTGCCTATCTCTGCCCCTCCCCGAGCTGTGGCACTGCAGAAACCCACCTCTGTCCTCATCATTTTTATATGTATTCTGAGTTCTGAACTCAGGTCTTCCAGTTGCACTTCCAGCACTTTATTGCCTGAACCATCTCCGAGCCCTGATTTGTATTATTTTAATGGACAAATAAGTGGCAGTGAGGTGAGCTTGTTCCCCCATCTTTATTCAGCCAACGAATGGAAAGCCCGGTATGAGACTCAGCTGGAGCTGAATGACCAACTGGAAAAACAAATTGTATCTCTGAAAGAGAAGATGGAAAAGATCCGCGGGAACCCTTCAGGTACGGAACCCGCGGTGCACGTGCTGAGGGGCTGAGTGGGAGCCACGGAAATATCAACTGTTCCTCTTGCTTCTTTGCAGATAGACTGTCTTCCATTCGTATCTATGAAAAAATGACGGTGGTGAGTAGAGGGCTGGGTGAACACAATCAACAAAAGAATGACATACTGAGGTGTCAAGACCTGAGTAACATTCAGGGGAGCTAGACAAGAACCGAGGCCTTTAGGCTCATCTGCCCCTTAAAAGCTGGGCTAGGGTCGAATGCAGGGACCAAATGCAAGGGAGCAAAACATAGCCAGGCTGGTTGGGAACTTGAAGGCACCTGCTTCTGACAATCTGAAGGAGCGTGTTGAACACCAAATGCCATCTTCTACATACCTAAAATGTGTCCATCCTGTTTCCGCCTTAACAGAAGATGTACAGACAGAACCGTACACAAGCACGTACACAGATACGCAAATACACACAAACCAGCAGAGCGCGCAGGGTTGCCCTACAATGACACAAAACTTCATAGGGCCGCCCCACCCCTTCTCAATGTTGCCCTCACATCCGTTCTGTCTTAATGTTCCCTTTCGTCCAGATAAATTCAGTCCCCGTATTTTATCCGTTACATGTGTTTTTCTACTCATGTGAGTTTATCCTTGAAAAGGTAAAAAAAAAAAAAAAAAAAAAAAAAAGCCCAAGACATGACTCCCACCAAGTCCTCGCTGCTGAGAGACAGGCTTTCCTCACACCTTGTGCTGAATTTTTACTTGAAAAAAAAAAATAATAACTCAGACAAATGTGGTGATATGCTTAAAGGAAAAAAAAAGTATTTTGGGGGAAGAAAATTAATATTCAGCTGAATTTGTAGGATTCAATATTATAAGCCATTTGTCTTTAATTAAGCATACGCGTATGCAAATGTAACTCCTTCAGCTCAGTTTCCAGACACAGACACCGTGTGAGATAAAGTCCTTGATAGCCGGTGATACTGACCTTTGCCCGGGACCCCCAGCCTCACGTGGCACCGGCCTCCTCCTTACTTAACCTCTCCCGCTCCGCCACACAGTGCTAACCGCCGATCGGAACTGACAAGCATGTTTTGAGCAGCCGCACCCGAGCGCTCTGCACATTGACAGCGTCCTAGGGACCAGCGAATTTACGGATGTTTTCCCCTGAGTAACCGCCATTCCTTAGTGAACAGTACAGAGAAATCTCTGCGTTTTTGTAAATGACGTGGCGAGGAGAATGAGTCTGATTGCCTCCATTTCTGTTACCTCTGATCTAGAAGTACTCAAATGTCTTGGAAGGTCAGGAAAATACCCCTCCTTCCTGTCCCTAATAGTGGAAAAACTAGGTTTTTCTCCTCCGTGGTGACGCACATCGCCATCTTGTGGCACGTTTAGGCATGGCCGCTCCGGCTGTGGTAAGTGTCTTCCTTAGTTATCAAGCAGAAACTGAATAGGACCCATATAGTGTAAGCTGGTTCTTCACGCCTGGATCTTGCCCCCAGAAAGACTTTGTAGCTCATATAAGGGACATTTACTATTTGAGTATTTCTTCTTAGTAACATAGAAAAGAAGGCTTCTGAACAAGGCTGGTGTTCGTGGGAGTATGTCTCCAAGGCCTGAGCGGCAAGCACTGAGCCCTGAGTGCTCTTGATCCAGTCTCAGATCACCCAAAACCTAAGGAACAAAGACACACTTAGTTTTCTTAGAAACATTTGTGTTGTGTACACATAAAATAATACTTGTATATAATTCTCCCAATTTTCCATTTAGGCTGACAGCGTAGTAAACGATTAAAATTAGTTTTGTGTGTCAGACTATGGATTTACAACATCTCAGAATTTCTGGCGTTTAAGAGGATTTAGTTATTTCATTTTTATGTGTCAGCTGTGTATGCGTGAGTTCATGTTCAGCGTGTGTGTCGTGCCTGAAGAGGTAAGAGGGCATTGGATTCCCGGGAGCTAAAGTTGTAGGCAGTTGTGAGCCTCCTGATGGGGGTGCGGGGAGTCAAGCGTGGGTCCTCCAAGAGAACACCTTTTCATCACCAAGCATCTCTTCAGCCGCCCCACCCCACCCCCAGTTTGTCTCCGCCTTTGCTGCGAATCATCAGTCTTTAGGGGTAACCTCCACCAACATACTCACAAATTGATGTCAGTTAGTTTGAATGCCAACTTTGTTTCTACAGCCCTGTTGACGCCCGAATTAATATTTTTGATAAAGTATATTGAGTTGATACGCCAACTGTATTATGAAAAGATTGATGAAGAATCCTAGAATCCTGGATTTTGAGAAGCAGGATGTAGAGGTCCTACTGTCTGCCTGGCTGTGGTAGACCTGTGATCAATCCATGCACCCTCTAACTTGCATTCTCCCCAAAGATCAAAACAGTTTACTTGAAAACAGGTGCATAGGTTCAAACCAGAAAGGAAAAAAAAAAAAAAAAAAAACAGCTAAGGAATGTGATACATGTACGTAATAAGCAGGTTTGTCCACAAGGGGGCATTTGTAATCTCAGCGTGAAGAATCTATCAGGGCTGGCGTTGTCTGGGGCTGTAGTTAACTAAGTCCTGTTGTTCGTTCACTCTCTTAAAATCTCGAGGGGGGTGTTTTAATTTTTAGCTATCTCCCCTGCCTTTTAGTGCTGTTGTTAGCTTCTTCAGAGCAGCAACTAACATTAGTTTTAAGGGAAAATAAGTGGCAGATAGGGCTTCCTTTCTGTCTGGGATGGTGAAGCAGGCTCTCCCCACCCCCTTATTTAAATCCTAAGTATATTTTACTTCAGCTATGCAAACACAGCCCTGCAGTGTGCCCTTTTAAAAGCAAATTAAAACAAGAATGTAGGTGAACAATGTTAAGTTAGACTGCTAAGAAGCAACTATTCTTGAAAACAGTTCTTTCATAGAAGAAGCATGACATCTCCACGACTTGTGAGAATTTAGTTTGCTGGAGCATCTTCATCTTTAGTTTGTCTCCACTGGATGGTTTTCTGGCTTGTGACCATTGAGTTACCCAAACCAATAAACATCTGCTTGGGAGCATTCCATTGTGTGCCTCCTGTGGATGTGGGGACAGGGTCCTCTCCTCTGATAAAATCACTTTCCAAATAGCCAGTTTAGTAAATTAGTCATCAATAAAGCAAAAGGATCAAACTCCAGAAGGAACCCTAAAATTATTTTAGAATAATTTAGCACTTTTAAAGGTTTCTCTTTTTCTTTCCTGGGTACAGTAATTTTTCTACACTGCGGTATTGGGGGACTATGGTGTTCTAGAGAAATCCAGAGCAGGTTCTTGTTTTTCTCTAACAGAACTAATTTTGATGCTGGTATAATTCCCATGAGATTGCCACAGCAAACATTTATGCTGAGCTGCAGTATAATTTTAAAGCGCTGTCTGTGTGTGTTCATATGTGCATGTGAGGGAGAGAGAGAGAGAGAGAGAGAGAGAGAGACAGAGAGAGAGACAGAGAGAGAGAGCTCATAGCAGGTAGAGGAAGGGGAGTAAGATGCAGCCCAGACATTGGGGCCTGCACAGCTGGAGCCACTTAGGGCACAGTGCTAAGAGTGGCCGGGAACATGGATGTCTTGTTCTGTGTGGACAGACCTACTTGAGAATCGACAGGGGACGGTGATGAAGAAGGTCAGGACATGACAGAAACTACAACTGACAGGAAGCTTCTGGTTGAATATGTGAGATGAATGCACAGACAGACAGAGGAAAAAATAAATAAAAAACAAAACAAAGCAAAAACCTCCCAATGATTGCTAAATTCAGAAAATAGGACACATGGTTAATCTCACGTTAATTTAAGGATTCAAAGTTTGAGTATAAATTGTCCAGTGCTACTGAAATGGCAGTCCTGCTATGCTTCTCAGATGTGTTTGAATAGAATGTTCCATTTTAGCCAATATTCTTTGCTGTGGAGCAAGCAGGAGAGAGAGGCAGCATGTGCTGGAGCCTGGACTCTGCTAACACATTTTTTTTTGTTTTGTTTTTAAAGTAGAAGAGTCTAGCTTATAATTTTTTGAATTCATTTTATGTATCCTCCATTATAAATACATACTCTCATTTCTCTGTATTAAAAATTTATAATATACTCTCATCTAACCAAAACCAATAGCCAATGTAAAATTGAAAAACCATGTTTAGTGGTTTTTGAAAATGAATTTTCTAAGATACGAATTGTGGAAGTAAAATCATAATGTTGGTTTGGCAAAGTTGAGTGAAAGTGTTGGGTAAGGAATGTGACATCTGATAGCAGAGAGATGACAATGGGTGCTTAACGTGACTGGCTGAGCTGACTGGAGGGTGAAACTCCGCAGGCAAGAGACTGAAGGACATTTTGGAAGACCATAGCTAGAGGAACGATAGTTTTGACATTAGACAGTTGAAGAAGGGCCAGCAGAGAACAGAGAAGAACAGCAGTGGCATGGAAAGCAGGCTCCAGACGTGTCCATGGGGACTTGGCAGCCACAGGTATGGGAGAGGTAGGGGGAGGCTGTGAACACTCATCACTCAGAACTTGGTGTCAGCTCGTGTGGGTGGCCGCTCTCCTTCAGCTAGGACACTGTTTTCTGGATAAAAATGCGATCGTCATGGAGCTTTACAAATAGAAGGCAAGAGTGAGAAATGGTACTGAGAAAGGAGCTGCGCTCTCTGAGAGCTAGGCTCTCATCCCCGCCCCCAGCCAGCTCAACATTACAGAGCTGTTTGGCTGTCAAAGGAAACATGAGGGTCCAGGGAAAATATCTCAGGCTCCCTGGGCAGGAAGATTGTTTGATGGGGGTCCTGGTCCCTAGGTACCTGACTTTGAACTCGATCAAGCCCACATTGCCAAGGCCTGTTCTCCATCTGTGAGCTCTGGCAGCCAGTGGAGAGAAAAAGACAGAAAGAGCTATTCCTGGCCTATGTGGGATCCTGTTGTTGACCGATTGTACCTAGGGATTCTTAGTTTTGCTAGTTTTTTTGTTTTGGTTTGGTTTTGGTTTTTTTGGCTGAATGACTAGGATGTATCTGCTTCCAGCCAACCTTCTTGTCCTGCATTGTGGTGAGTCCATGAGCCCCTTCTCTCAGTCTCCTGCTTCTCCTCATCCTCACAAGGCCATCCCTGATTTTTGTACTTTTAATTCCATCTTGGCATCAATTTCTCAGAGCACTAGGTATGAAACCAGTGGCACTGAAAGCGAGCTGAGGAAAACAGGAAGATGGCGCATGTCTGTCTGGGACACTGTGTAGAAGGCAGATCTATCCTGATGGGGTGAATATTATAATCCCAGGGTGGCAGTTCACTTTATAAGGCCTGATCATGACCTCAGGATGTGCCCTGACAGATAGGATGCTGTGAGGGAAGCCAAGGGGCAGGAGTTTTGGAAATACAGGGTTTGGTAGTAAGTGGCACTACAGCCTGCATGAGGATGAGGACAGACATAAGTGCATGCCGAGACAGCCTTCTTGAGAGTTCTCAGGAGCCTCTGTCCCCACATCAGGAAAGGAAATGCAGTAGGACACAGGAGGAAATCCACTCTGTGAGAGGTGTGTGAGTGGCCAGGCCAGGTGGATCTGTTATGTGAAGAATAGGGCCAGGATAGGGATGCCAGGCACCCTAGAACTGTGACAGTGCTTCTGGGGAGGTACCACCGGAGATAACAGCTCCTCCTGGCCTCATTCGCAGCCCTGTGTTACTGCCAAACTCTTGGCAGATCTAAATGATGCATGTTAACAGTAGGTTTCTCTCATTCTTTAAAATGAACAGTGTCATTACTCCCAGTCACCATGACCTGCTCCATCTCCTCCTCTTTTAGAGGAGAGGTGCCTTCGGATTTTCTCTGTGTGGATGCTTGGTATCCCTGGTAGTTTACACCAGTGTGTAAAGTAGACATGAAGCACACATAGTTGGCAAAGGCTGTATGTAGTCTTGCCCCATTGTTAGAGTGGCAGCAGTTGTGTGCCTGACGCCAGCATGTGTGTCCCTGGGCACTGTCGTACCTGGGTTCTGATTCCAGCACTCCCATTGGCCAGTGTCACACCTTTGGGATAACTACATAACCCCTGTGGCTGTAATTTTTTGCACATTAAACAGAAAGACAAGCTATCTCATGATTTTGATTCAAATCAAATGAACTCATGTATGGGAAACACATATATTCCTCAGATCTTAGAAACCTTAACTTTCACTTGAAACTTTCATGCAGGCCCACAATTCTGAGTCTTAGTCCAATTTGGGAACCTTGGGACAACAGGTCTAATTTGGATAAATGAAGAAGGCACTTAGTGTAATTCAGGGCACAGACGTCAATAAATAAAGCTGTTCTGTGAATTATTGCTGTTACTTACAGCCTATGGAATCACAGTCACCCTTGGCTCTAGCACTCATTCACTGGGGAATGATTTTTTTTTTTTAAATTGCTGCTTAGAACCTGAAGTACATAAAACTGTCTGTTCATATTTTCAGGAATCTTTAAACACGTTACTTAAACAACTAGAAAAAGAGAAAAGGAGTCTTGAAACTCAAGTGAAAAACTACACACTTAAACTGGAGCAGGAATCAAAGGTTGGTTTAACTCCATGTGAAGCAATGTTCTTGAAGCTGCCATTCATTTTTCTAGTAGTGTCTATAAATCTGTTTTCACACTCATGAAGTTCTCACAGAACTGTTTTGTTTGCTATAAGAGGCAGCAGATGTAAAGCCTGACCTGGTAATGAGCTCTCTTTTAATAGGCATACCACAGCACCAACAGTGAGCGCCGCACATACATCGTGGAAATGTCTCAGGTAACCCCATCTTTTATTGCAGCTGCTAGAAGTTTCCTCCAACTAGGAGGCGTCTTATTTTCCTGTTCTAGTTTGGTTGGCAGAGAAACAGATGTTGGGATTATGGAAGGAAATAGAGTGGTTTGGATTTTTTGTTTGTTTGTTTGTTTGTTTGTTTGTTTTGTTTTTAATACAGGAGAGTGGAAAGGAAAAGATGTAACTTCTATAAAGAGATGAAAGAGCAGCCCCAGTTAAGGCATAAATTTGCATACTTTGATTCATAATTGCTGTAATGCAGAGAATCATAGTCCTTGGGTGTCAGAAAATTCCAGGCATGTCACTGCTTAGCTGTTCGTGGTGTGTCTGGCTGTGCAGCCAGGCACTGCTGTGCATGGGTAGGGATCAATACATTGTGTGCCTGTCTTGACAGCTTCCGTCTGCTTTTCAGTTTCATCTGTGATATTGGTGGTCTTACAGCGGTCATGCTTTACATCACTAGTGCTGTGACTTAGGTTTCCTCATGGCTTAAAGGACCACGTTTTCCTTAATGTTTTATACCATCGCCCAAATCGTTCACCTTCATAGTTGATGCTGTCGTGCATATTTAATTTACATTAACTTTATTTTGCTGTATGTGTTCAGATTAGGGCATGAGTTCAGCTTTCAGTGACTATTATCCAAGCAGAAGTACCCAGACATCTAGTGGATGTGTAAATCTCAGGAGGCATGTTCTAGAATGGAAAGAGATGTTTAGAAATTATTGGCACTCAGTTATTGCAGACATGTGAAGGAATGAGATAGAGCAAGGGCCACCTGTACGGTTATAAGAGAACACAGTTTGGGATGTAGTTCAGAAGAGTGTCAATGGTGATGCCAAAGGATCCAGGAGGAGAGTGCAGCGGGGCAGGTAGGGGTGGCTTGACCATCCCTTACAGGGATAGAGCACTGTGAAGGATTTATGGAACAATTCAGAGGAGGAGCTAGATGTGGGGATTGGAGCCCAGAAAGGGGAGGAATTTAAGAATGAAAATTAAGGGTTTAGTGGTAAAGGAATGCTTGGGGCTTAGAGTCAACAAGGTAAGTACGAAATGAACAGAATGGGTCAGTCCCTGAAATCTGTTGTCCTTTTATAACCATCAATGGCAATTTCCTGGTTCTTGGCAGTGGCTGGGGAGCCAGGCTTGCACCTCCAGCACACACTCCCTCCTGCCTGTCTTCTAAATCCACATGCTGCCTGGAACACACTCTTTCTCATGCAAGCCTTTTCAGCTCCATCTCGAGGTCTCTTGTGAATACTTCAGTTCTCTGTCAGGCCTTGACTTGATGGAAAGACCACAGACCATGAAGCCAGACAGACTCTGGATTTGAACCCAACTCTTCATTTAGTTGCTGTGTTACCTTTTGAAATCATGACACATGCATGTGTGCGTGTGTGCGTGTGTGCGTGTGTGTGTGTGTGTGTGTGTGTGTGTGTGTGTGTGTGTGCACGCGGTTGTCCAGTCTGCTGCAGATGCTTCTGTGTGCTCATTCAGGGTGACTCATCCTCCATCCAATGTTTGTCATCTGACTCAGTCTCTGCTTTTCTTGTCTCCCCCTCCTGTGATCTCTACTGGGAGAATAGACAGATAGATAGAGCAGTGTAGGAGACAGGCATGGCTTATTGCAAGCTGAACGTACTCTCAAGCAGTGTGAGCAATGGCCAAGGAGACCCCTGGCCTGACCTACACTCCAGGCTGCCATTATACTATATTCTAAGAACAAGCAGCTTTTCTTGAGGTACTTTGTCCTGTCCAGGTGATTGACAGGCCGGTTTGGATCTTTGCTTGGAGGAGGAAGCAGTGGTGTGTCTTTGTTCTTCATCAGAAAGTCTCCTGCTGTAAGGTAATCTCATAAAGATTTGGGACTCCTTCAGCCAGGTTCTCCATTCATGGCGCTCCAGGCAGCTTGGTGTCAGGCTCCTTCCAAGGTCCAAGATGTGACTAGAGTTCCTTTTCTAGCCTATAAATAAAATCCATTTTAGTTCTTCGTTTAAAGTTGTTACTGTGAGGGAGGGTACAGTCCCTGTGTCTTCCAATCCTGTTCATATCTAATGTGTCACTTAACAACCAAGATGGGTGTGTTTTGATCGAAACCGACTCCCCCTCCACACGTCTTCTCATTTCTGCACTGTGTGTGTAGAGATCCTGCTTCGTAACAACTTATAGGCACAAGGAATTATTAAAGAGTAAGGCAGGACTGACTTTTCAGAGTGTTATAAGACCTGATAGGTTTAAGTTTTGCTGTCTGAGGAGGGAGAGAACCACAGGGGGGATACAATGTGAATAAAATGCAATTAATAAAGAAAAAAAAAGTTTTGCTGTCTGCTCCAAATAACTGAATTTTAGCCAAGGACATCGGAGTGTTAAATACAAATGCTTTTGGTTTATAAATAAGATATTGTTGGACTGTCCAACAGTTCTAAATTCTCTTAATGGTTTTTTTTGGACATATGTGTGTTGTGTGTTTGTTGCATCTGTGCTCATGTGGTGTATACATGCAAATAGTATCTGTGTTATTATAAAAAATCAATCCCAACAATTTTATTTTACCAGTGAAGATTCAGGAGCCAGATTCTGGGGTGAAAACCTACTAGCTCAGAGAGACAGAGAAAATACCCAGTTGATCTTCCTACTCAGCTCATATCCCAGAAGGAAAAAGCCCAAAGCCCAAAGCTAAAAGCTTGCTAGCCTAGGAGGAAAAGGTCTGCTAGCTCAGCTGACAGCCTAGGAGGAGAAAACCAAAAGTTCAAGGCCAAGGAGCTAAAGAGCTAAAAGCAAGGAGCTGAAGAGCTAAAGCTCTCAAGCTAAAGTGCCCTTCTACTCCTTTTGTCTTAAATATCCCTTTCTCAAAGTCCCTCCTTACTGCTTAACCCCTGTCAGCTGTTTTTTTGCTTTGCCTCTTGACCTATGTACAGAAAGCTCTTGGATTAAAGGTGTGTGCTAGGACTGAGCCACACAAGAATCACCTGTTTGTTAGTATTTAAGCAGCCTGCTTCTGGGTTGCCTAGCAACCTATGATGTCATCATGTGTCACCCTCGAGGTAGCCACACCTGGCAGGCATGGTTTAGTTGCTCCATAAAAGGATCAACCCACCACTTTGTCACCCTCTTGCTCTCTTGCCCTCTTAATCTCTCACTCTCCTGCTCTCTCCCCTTTCTCTGTCGGGGCATCCCCTCCCTTCCCCCATCTCTCCTTCTGTCTCTCTCTCTTCATCTCCATCTAATAAACCTCTTTCATATAAAATCTGTTATGCTCATCATCATTTCATTGGTCCTAACGCTGTTTACAATAAACAGAAAGTTCTTGGATTAAAGGTATATGTTAGGGCTGAACCATACCAAACAAAAGACATGTTATTGTTTGGTTTGGTTTTTTTTTTTGTTTGTTTGTTTGTTTTTCTTTTTTGTTGTTGTTGTTGTTTTTTTTACAGTTCACAATCTCAGGGTTCACAATGGGATTAAATATCCTGCAACATATGTGGGCGCATATGGAATCCAGAGAAGGACAGCATATGTCCCACTCTCTGCCTTATCTACTCATACAGCATCTCACTGAACCTGGGTTAGGCTGGTGGTTGTGACACACAGATCTTCACTGACAGCATTGGGTGTGCTCCCTACTGTTGACGCTGTTTCTCAGATACCATTGTCATTGGTTTATATCACTGAGTTTCTTCTCTGCAGTGTTGTCTTGATTGATGAACTCATTCATTTATGGCTTCAGTGGCCATCTTGAAGTTGATCAGCCTCCAATGTTGTTGAATTACCTGGGACATCAATTTGCATATCCTGGACAAACCACAAAATAAATGTAATGAAAATTCTATCTTGCCTCTTCTGCCTTGCTGGCTGGCTGTATGTTTTATGTATGTTTTTGTCTACTACAAACATTCCTAGAGGTCCACACCACATGGGTGATTGGCTTTAATAGTTTTCTCCGTATTTAATTTGAAAGCCATGTGGGCTGTGGGGTCAAGAGAGGGTTTGTACAGAAACCTCAAAAGGTTTCTCCTATTAGAAAACGCTGACCTTCCTGCTTCTTAGCTGCTTCTACACATGCTGCTAAGACACATGTTTCTGAAAGAAACTGACAGAAAATTGACTCTTTTAACCCAGAATTCAGTTGGGAAGTAAGAAGAAAAACATGTTTTGTTTTGTTTTTTTTGTTTTTGTATTTCAGGTTTCTGGCTCAAGTCAAGCTTCTAAAAAGCAACAGATGGATCCATTGCCTAAAATGAAAGAGAATCCCACGAAAATGTACGTCTGGGTAGAGCTCCCCTTGCTAGTTAATTATGCTGTTCACAAATGGCATTCACTCAACAGGTGTCCATTAGATTTTGGAAGCTAAGATTCTAGATTTTTTTTAAACTTTTATTAATTACACTTTATTCACTTTGTATCTCCCCATAAACTCCCCTCTCCTCTGCTCCTAATCCCACCTTCCCTCCTCCTCCTTCACGCATGCCCCTCCCCAAGTCCACTGATAGGGGAGGTCCCCCTCTCCTTCCTTCTGATACTAGTCTATCATATCCCATCAGGAGCAGCTGCATTGTCTTCCTCTGTGGCCTGGTAAGGCTGCTCCCCCCTCAGGGGGAGGTGATCAAAGAGTAGGCCAATCAGTTCATGTCAGAGGCAGTCCCTCTTCCCATTACTATGGAACCAACTTGGACACTGAACTGCCATGCATGGAGATAACTGAGATTCTAAATTTTATAGCCATGTATAAAACAGCTCATGGCAGGAGACTCCAGAAAAGCCAGTGACATCACACTCTATATTCATGGGATTTGAGCTTCCAGAGCAGTTAGTCTCCAAAGGAGGTGACATGTTAAACCAAAGCAGGAAGAGTTAAAACTCTTTTACACTACTAATAACCTAACAGACACAATAAGGGTCTGTCTTGACCTTTTCAGTTGGGAATCATGTTTGTTGCTATGGACATAGTACAGTTTAAACAGATCCCAAGCAAAGGAAGCTACTTGATGATGAAGAATGAAGGAACTTTTAGGTATTTCCAAGGCTATATATATATTATATATATATTATATATATATATAAAATATATATAAACATTATATATATAATATATATATAAACATTATATATATATATAATGTTTCCAGGTCCTGTAGAAAATATGGAATCATCTGATCCTTATCTCTGTGACCTTATGCCCCATGTGTGGTAGCATATTCATATATAACACTGAAAAAAATAAACCAATATGTGAATTAGTTATAAATCAGTCCTGTCCAACTATGGTCAAGACAAGAGGTACTCGAGGAATGTGTAATATGACAGGTTTCTTTGGTAAAGATTAATGATGTAGCTCAATTTTGCTCAATTCTCAGCTAGATAAAAAGAAGTATGTTTTCCATTAATAGTCATTACTTATTGAAATTACAATTAATTATCTTTATACATTTTTATCATAGACTTATAAAGTCATTTAAATATTAAAATTTGACAAAGGACCTCAATGGAAAAAGCATCAAACCACTGTGTCTGAGATTCTGAAGACCATCTCAGTGGTAAGAGACTCACAGGTCCCAGGGCTCAGGACATGTTTGTACTTGTGCTAGGATGTGTCACAAAGAAAAGGTGCAACTGAAATCCACGGGAGAAAAGGCTGCTGGATTACAGTCTGTGAGAACTAGGTGCCAAGTTGTGAAGTCCTGCCTAGGCAGAGTTCCACTGACACACTTAGTCCCTCCAAGAGTGAATTACAGCAGCCAGCTGACAGCATATGAAGATTTTATGTCCTGGAGAGGCTCACTGAGGCACAGCACCCAATGGTTCTGTTGGCTGGGGCCACACATACTCATATACCCACTCATACCCAACCCCTGCTAATATTCCAGACTCCAAGAAGATAAGCAGGTGTTGTGATGGTGTAGGCGCAGAGTGATGGGGCACAGTTTTACTAGGACAAAGAACCTTTGCCACTAGGTACCCTGTAGGCAGGCTTTCCCGAAGACAGGAATCCAGAGCTGTTACCTCAGCTCTTCTCTGTGCCTCACCCTGCATAGCTACCTTTCATTTAACCTTTGCTCTAATCCAAATCTCTTCTTAAAATACACTACTACTCCTTCGTAATTTTCTTTGATGGTGAAGAGGTACTTTGAACATTAAACTGAGGCCTTGTCCTCACACCTTTAGTGGACATATCCATGAACACATCCTCACTCAGTGTTTACACATGTGGACATATGTACAGCCTGCCTTCATCTGCTTGTCTGGGGCCTCTGGGCTGTAGGTATGAGCTGAGCCTGAGATGCTGGTATAGGAGGTAGATGCGATGGTCTGGGATCTCTCACTCTAGAACCATCCATTCCACCCTGATCCTTTCTGTCTCTGATGAATCAGAATGAGGAGAGATTGTCCATCATAGATGGCTGCTTAACAGTCTTTGAATGGATTCCTGAGGTGATGAGTGGTCAGGCAGCTATACTAGGCTTTCAGTGTCGGAACTGTAAGCAACACTCAGACCTCACCCAATAGAAACATCTCTGTCTTCCTGATTAGGTATTTGCATACATGTATGTAGTCGAGACTGCCTTAAAACATTGTCTCTGAGTTACTGGCCTGAACACGGAATGTGGTATCCTCCTTTTGTTGATTGTTTAAATTTGAGTCATAGCCAATGTTGGTGCTAAGCCCCTCACAGCAGATTGACCAAGTGGTGCTGAGCATCCCTCAGCGGCAGAGCAGAGAGGCCACTGTGGGTCAGAGTCACAACACCAGCAGGAGCGGATGGAGTGTGGATTTAGATGGCTGCTTGGGAATGGTGCTTAGTGTTCACTTCCACAGCTGCCCATGTGCCTTTTCTGATTGTCAGCAATTCTGCTTCTAAACACAATGGTGCGGTTACACCATAAGACCTGACCGTGGATGTCATAGCAGCTTTATCCATGATAGTCAAAGGTGAAAAAGAAACCCTAAACTGTTCGTCAGTAGGGAATGGGTATTTCTTATGTCTATGCATATATACTACAGAAGTAAGAGTAGTAAGTACCCTTTATATCACATTTGGATAATTTGCATAGTCTTCTGTACAGGGATATGTAAATGTGCTTCTATTCACATGAAGTTTAAGCTGAAATAGTCTGTTGTTGGAGTACAGGATGATCCTTACAAATGGAGCTGAGAAAAAGGAAGCACCTGTGGCCTTCCAGTAAGCTGTCGGTATTTTATCGAGAAGCCTGGAGGGTAGTTACCGGAATGTTAACTTTATGACTTCATAGAACTGTGAGCTTATGGTTTTCACACTTTTGTACCTGTTATGTTTTGAATGCTATTTTAAAACTCAAGTGCTATGGCCTTAATGTGTGCCCTGCTAGACATTCTCATATGTGCTCATCAACTTGCATCTGTAACACAGAGGCTGACGCAATTCATTAATCATTATTTTTTAAAGATTAATTCAGCCTTAGTTTAAGAGGTTCTTGTCTGTGACTGGTTGCCCTTGCTGGGCTGAAAACTGCCACACAGAAGGCAGGGGGCAAAGTGCGGGGTCTCACCGCTGGCTTCACTTTCCAGCTACCCCAAGACTTTCCACCAGCCCCGACCTCTCACAGATCCCATAGCCCACCTCCCACTAGTACTGCCAGGGGCCACGGTTAACACAGAGACCAGTGTTCAAACACTGGCTTATGATATTGTTTGACACTTAAATCAGAGTACTGGAAGAGACCCAGTTAAGAGAAATTCTGTTTAAAGCAATCATCAAAAAAGTGATTCTGGAGCCCTCCTGTAATCCCAGCACCCAGAGAGACAGAGACAGGCAGATCTTTGTAAGTTTGAGGCCAGCCTCATCTACAAAGCAAGTCCAGGACAGCCAAGGCTACACAGAGAAACCATGTCTTGAAACAACAACAACAAAAAGTGATTCTGCCCAGTTGAATACCACCAATTATATTCCTACTTCAAGAAATTGTGACTGAAAATGAACAAGATCCCTCCACCTCATTGAACGATCTATGCTAAAGATCTTTGCACATACTATTTATAAAGAATGGCTAAGACGGTTAAGCAAAATGCTTTTTAGAAATGGGTTTACCAGTTGCCCCTAAGTTCTGCAAAGCTGATAGGTAGCTGTGGACGATGGCCCCTGGAATGTGTTAACTGTGAAAGATAGACTTTGCAAGCGAGGAACTCAAATGGTGATGGATACCACAACAACAACACACCAAAGAACCAACTGTGATGTTTCCTTTTCTTTGCTCTGCAGCCTCCTCTTTGCTTTGTTGATATAGTGATCAAAGGCCCTTGAGGAAGACAGGGCAGTCCTTTGTGCTCCAAAATGAAAGCTCCAAAGGAAATTAATTGTGGCTTGTTGAAGGAAAGATTGTTTAGGGAACTTATTTTTGAGGCAAGAACCTCTCTCCTAAAGTTTCTTCCCCCCTAAGGGCCTCCATCTAGTTTCCTGGGATCCACGCTCACTCCCAGGTAGATGCACATAAAAATTAGAAGCTGAGATCCTATGGGAAGGAGCACGCGTCACTTGTCTTCTAGTCCTGGCTGCCTCATTTAATGTATTTCCATTTTCATCTCTCCTGGTGGCAAATTAAATTTCCATCGTGTACGTGTGCCACATGGTCACTATCCACCTGTTGATGGACAGCTAGGCTGATTCTGTTCTCTTGCTGTTCTGAATAGGGCAGCAGTGAACATTAGCATATATCTCTGTCACAAGGTTAGAGCCTTTTGCTCATGTGTTAGAAGTTAGCACAGCAGATTCAAACGGCAGCTCTGGTGTTTAGAGAAACAATCACACCATTTTCCACAGTGGCTGTACCACTTGTACCTGTACCAACAGTAACTACAGCTCATCTTTCACCACATCCCCATCAACCTTTATTGTCATTAGTTTCCCTGTCAACAGCTATTGAGACTTGGGTGAGATGGAATCTCAAATGTCATTTTATTTGTGTTTTGTGTTTCTCCAGTAGAGTAAGGATATTGGACACATTTTCCTTTTTCTTCTTCTTCTTCTTCTTCTTCTTTGGAGAACCATTTGTTGAGTGTACCAGCTCATTTATGGCAGTTGTGGGGCTCTGGAGAACATTTGGCGAACATTTGCACGCCTCTGTATGGTCTAGATATTAATGCCCTGTCTGAAATACAGCTGGCCAGGACTTTCTCCAGTCTGTGTTCTCTTCACTCCTCTTTCATCTTCTTGCTGTGCAGAAGCTTTTTAATTTCCTGTGATCCCATGTGTTGCTGGGTTTTGATTCAGAAAATGAATTGCTATTCCTGTTTCTTGAAGGGCCATCCCTGTTTTGTTTTTGGTTTGTTTGTTTGTCTTTGGGATGTATGTATGTGTGTTGATTTTAATAATGGCAATTTCAGCATTTCCCATTTCAAACTGAGGTCTTATTGACAATCCCCCCCTGCCCCCGTTTCACGAGAGCTATATTGTGTCTGCATTTTTTTGGTTGTCTTTTCTGTCTTGTCAAAACTGGGCATTTCATATAATGCAGCATATAGCTAGTATGTATCTCAGTTACTCTCTTTCCCCAGGGCTGAAGGCTGATGTTATGTGGCAACTTCTCTTAATTCATCCTGTGACAGTAGTGTTCTTTGCCATGAGTGGCCACTAAGCGATCACCTTAGGATTAGCAGAAAAACTTAAAGTACTTGAAATCAATAAACCTCTTCCTTCCTGGGGGACATAGCATATGCGCTTGAACAGGCTGTCCCTACTCAGCCAGGAGAACCACACCTCTGCCTCACCTTTACTTCAGCTCTCGCAGCTAGCTGCATTTCAATGATAGGCAAAGGAGAGAGCTTAGGTCATTCTCAAGTCAAGACATACCTGAGCCAAGGTATATAAAGTTACACATAAGCATGGCATTCCAGATCCTGAGATTTGTGCTGGAGTTCTACTAATGCCCATCCCACAGCTTTTTAACTTTCCTGGTTAGCTTAGCTTAAATAATAGTAGCCATGAAATTAAGTGATGGCTTCAGTTTGTCCCAGCAAATTCTCCAAGAGAAATGTTCATGTCCAGAGAAGGCCAAAGGAGAAGACTTTTCAGTCAGTGGCAGTTCCTGTAGTCTGTGTTGGCTCCTGGTTTTACCATAGCTATGGGCTGTTGATTTTCTTTGGAGGTAAGGGACAGGAGTAGGACTAGGCAGAACTAAATTCTTCACAACTCAGTGTTCTCACCAAGTCCTCAACTTTCTTTCTTTGTTTTATAAATTCTTGAGAAGTGCTACAAAATTTTGATTTCTAGAATTCTAAAGCACTTGCTTTAGAACATTTTTATGTATTATTATTATTATTATTAATTACAGTTTATTCACTTTATAGCCCACCTGTAGCTCCCTCCCACCTCCCCTCCCAATCCCACTTTCCTTCCCTCTTCTCCAACCATTCCCCTCCCCCAGTCCACTGACAGGGGAAGTCTTCCTCCCCTTCCTTCTGATCCTAATCTATCAGGTCTCATCAGGAGTGGCTGCATTGTCTTCCTCTGTGGCCTGCTAAGGCTGCACCCCCCTCAGGGGGAGGTGATCAAAAAGAAGGCCAATCAGTTCATGTCAGAGACAGTCCTAGTTCCCATTACTATGGAACCCACTTGGACACTGAAATGCCATGGGCTACATCTGTGCAGGAGTTCTAGGTTATTTCTATGGTCCTTAGTTGGAGTATCAATCTCAGAAAAGAACCCCTGTGTCCAGATATTTTGCTTCTGTAGCTCTCCTTGTTGAACTCCTGTCCTCTGCAGGTCTTAACTATTTCCCACTTCTTTCATAATATTCCCTGCACTCTGCCCAAAGTTTGACTATAAGTCTCAGCATTTGCTTTGATACCCTGCAGGGTAGGGTCTTTCAGAGGCCGTCTGTAGTAGGCTCCTGTCCGGTTCCCTCGGTTCCCTGTTTTCACCCTCTTCTTATGTCCATCTTCTTTGCCTTTCTGAATGAGGATTGAGCATCTTTCCCAGAGTCCTCCTTCTTGTTTCTTTAGGTGTACAGATTTTAGTATGTTTATCCTATATTATATGTCTAGTATCCACTTATAAGTGAGTATATACCCTGTGTGTTTTTCTGCTTCTGGGATAGCTCACTCAGGATGATCTTTTCTAGTTCCCACCATTTGCCTGCAAATTTCATGATTTCCTTGTTTTTAATTGCTGGGTAGTATTCCATTGTGTAAATGTACCATAATTTCTGTATCCATTCCTTAGCTGAGGGGCATCTGGGTTGTTTCCAGCTTCTGGCTTATTACAAATAAAGCTGTTACAAACATGGTTGAGCAAATGTCCTTGTTGTATACATGAGCATCTTTTGGATATATGCCTAGGAGTAGTATAGCGAGGTCTTGAGGAAGCACTATTCCTAATTGTCTGAGAAAGTGCCAGATTGATTTCCAAAGTGGTTGTACAAGTTTACATTCCCACCAGAAGTGGAAGAGGGTTCCCCTTTCTCCAGCATGTATTGTCACTTGAGTTTTTGATCTTAGCCATTCTGATGGATATAAGGTGAAATCTCAGGGTCATTTTGATTTGCATTTCCCTGATGACTAAGAACGTTGAACAGTTCTTTAAATATTCCTCTGCCATTTGATATTTCCCTATTGAGAATTCTCTGCTTAGCTCTGTACACCGTTTTTTTAATTGGATTACTTGATTTATTGCTTTTTAACTTCTTGAGTTCTTTATATATTCTAGATATTAGCCCTCTGTCAGATATAGGATTGGTGAAGATCCTTTCCCAATCTGTAGGCAGTCGTTTTGTTCTGACAACAGTGTCCTTTGCTTTACAGAAGCTTTTCAATTTCATGAGGTCCCATTTATTGATTGTTGATCTTAGAGCCTGTGCTGTTGGTGTTCTGTTCAGGGAGTTGTCTCCTGTGCCAATGAGTTCAAGGGTATTCCCCACTTTTTCTTCTAACAGGTTTAGTGTGTCTGGTTCTATATTGAGGTCTTTGATCCACTTGGACTTTAGTTTTGTGCAGGGTGATAAGTATGGATCTATTTGTATTTTCTACATGTAGACATCCAGTTATACCAGCACCATTTGTTGAAGATGCTTTTTTTCCATTGTATGGTTTTGGCATCTTTGACAAAAATCAGGTGTCCATAAGTGTGTAGGTTTATTTCAGGTTCTATTCGATTCCATTGATCCACCATTCTGTTTCTATACCAGTACCATGCAGTTTTTACTATTTGTTGCTCTGTAGTATAGCTTGAGATCAGGTATGGAGATACCTCCAGAAGATCATTTATTGTAGAGGATTGTTTAGCAATTCTGGGTTTCTTGTTATTCCATATGAAGTTGGGAATTTTCTGTAGAGAATTGTGTTGGTAATTTGATGGGAATTGCATTGAATCTGTAGATTGCTTTTGTTAAGATGGCCATTCTTACTATGTTAATCCTGCCAAGTCCTGAGCATGAGAGGTCTTTCCATTTTCTGATATTTTCTTCTAATTCTTTCTTCAGAGACTTGAAACTTTTTTCATACAAGTCTTTGACTTGCTTGGTTAGAGTCACACCAAGGTACTTTATATCCTTTGTGGCTATTGTGAAGGGTGTTGTTTCCCTAATTTCGTTCTCAGTCCTTTTGTCTTTTGTATATAGGAGGGCTACGACTTCTCTTTGCTTTTATCGGGGAGAGAAAATTTTACCCCTCTTACAAGAAAAATGACAGGCCTTTTCTTGGTTGTTTTTGCCGAGACCACTCTCTAAGATATATTTGAAAAGCACAGTAGCTGAAGCAGCCTCTGCTATCTCTCAGAAGAACACAAAGAAGTCACCTTCACACAGCTGAATCAGTCAGAGAAGATTCTGTGGAATCTGAGAACAGAAATCCATGTATTAGTATTATTTTACTGTCACTCTTCTATATCTTGGCCTCTCCATGTTGGTAAATAGCACATTGTTTTCCCTTGCCCCTCTATAGACAGGGCCTTCTATGTCGGGTACCCGAGGGGCCAGCTTTGGAGTCTCACCCTTTGAGTACTTGCATTTGCAGTGCTTGCCCTATAGCTGCCATGAGATCGTGACACACAGTTGCTGAGACTGTGGGGCAGACAGAACATGTGCAGGCAAGGATACCCTTTTTCCAGAGAGATGGGTCATCCACAATTTCTGCATGTGACATAGGCTTTTTTTGTTGCAGACAACGGTGACAGAAAAAATATGATCAATGCTTATTTTATTTCAGTGGGAGATGCAGTTCTGTTAATCAGAAGACAATGAATGTCAAGAAAGGACCAGTAAAAAAGGTTTCACGATCAAGCCATCTCCCGAAACTCAACCCGTGATTTCAGAGATGGGCAGACCTCTATTTTTCCCATCTTCATCCAGGATCTTCAGCTTAGGAAGCTTATGTTCAACACATTTCTCAGAGGAGAAAATAGATGAGGAAGAGCGGCACCTCTCGCTCTTTCAAAAGTTGATTCCTTTTGCCTGCATAAGTCATGTGTCTGCAGTGACTCTAGATGTACTTGTGGGTCCTACAGTATCTTAGAGGGAAACCTGAAGGGTGACTTAATTCCTGTATTTTTAGTAGGGAGTTTTCTGATCTGCTCTGATTGCATTATTATGTTGTATTTGGTTTCTAGTTGACCATTAGCTAGAATTACACACATATATGTTCAATGTATATAATATCTATGTAATATATGTAATGTATAATACATAATGTTACATATATTATAGGTTATATATTATATATGTTATGTAATATATGTGTATATGTAAATATTTTTTGTGATTTTAGGTTGTACTATGTTCAGTTCAGCTTTTTAAAATTAAGGTTTCAACATAATCACAGATCACAGCATATGAAAGTTTAGCTGAAATACTGTGAGTAACTTTAGCCATTCACTATGCTGTTCTCAGCAGCCCCCACCCTGCTGGTAACAGAGCATTTGGAGCAAATCCTATCATCTCGTAATTATTTCTCACATTTATAAAATGACTATGACAATTTATATAGTTTATAAGATTTCCTGCAGTTCTAGACAGCCTGTTCAGTCACAGGGGCCTGCTGCTGAGTATGTGGCATTAAAATTATTCTGTGATTTTTACTAACTCACAACAGTAGACTAGTTCTTTGGACCAAACTTTGTGAGAGTTTGGAATTCTGGAGACTAGAAAGAAAAAGCATGACAATAAGAGAAGAGTGTTGTTTTAGTCCCCATGAACTTTATTGAGTTCTATTCATGTTCAGGGCATTTCATGACTTGAATGGTTATTCTATCTGTAATGCAGGTCAGGAAAATCCACACGACTTACTTGACTGTTTTGATAAGAGGGATTATTGGAATTTCAATTTCCTGTGCATGTTTTAGTCAGTGATGTTTTGACCTGTATCTGATAAGACATGTCATTCATTTGCTTTTATTTGTAATATGTCTTTTACAACTGAGGGATTTATGTGCATATAGATATAAAACATATCTATATACATGTATATATGCTTAATATGTGCATGAAAGTGCAGATGACAGGACCAAAGCTGCAGCCATGAATTCAGCTATGGCTGCCTGCACAAAACCTGCTCAAGATCAAGCCAGTGAACCTCCAGCTCCTAAGGTGGAGGGGCACAGGGGCCCCACCCCTAGCTGAGGAGCTAGTGACAGAGAGGGCTGCTGGGAGAGGGAGAGTCCTTCTTTTGAGGGTGTCCTTGGTAGGTTCACAGTGCTCCAGTAGATGGCCCCGCATCCATGCATTTTCGGGCAGCACTAGCTGGCTTCAAGGGCGTATGTATGTACTCTATGTATACATGTACACTTAAAGGTACGAAATTGGGAAGGCGTTGTGGAAGGCGAGATCTGGGAACTGGGAGGAAGTACTATTATGTATGAGCTAAATACACTGTCTGATGTATGAAATTCTCAAAAAATAAAATATAGTCATAATAAAATGGAATAATGGCTTTAGTGTACTTACTTTCTCTTCCTTTATTTCTTGTCCAAGTTTGTTTCTAGAAACCGATTTTTTTTCCTGACTTTGGGTCTCATGTTCTGCTTTTTTATATCTATATACATTTTTATTGGATGCTGAGCATTAATAATCTCACATTGCTGATAACAATGTTCTCATGAGCATTTAAATTACTTACAGCTCTGCTTAACCTTCCAGACTTCTGTCAGAGTGAGAAAACTTCCTGTGAGGTAGGTTACGACTATGTAGCTAGCCTGAGGCCTTAGTGAAGAAGCCCTGAGTGACACAAGAGGCGCTCAGCTCTGCCTGGCCCCACATGGATGCCCCAGGCTTGCAGTCTTTCTGCTTCATCGCTTTGCACTTTGAGCCTCGGTGTCCTGCAGGGGCTCATGTGCAGACTTGCATTCTGCTTTTGTACAGGCCTATGTGTTCCTCAACACCAGCCTCTTTCTCTGGCTCTGTCTGCTCAGCTGTGGAAATTGTCCCGTTAACATGGGACTTCCTTCTCTGAAGCTGGTGTAGGGGAGGAACTACGGGGTCAGGCAGGGCTTGCTTCCTCCTCAAGGATCACTCCCTCATGCCTGCAAGCATGTTTCATCTATTTTCATCTGCCCTTCTCTTTAGTCACAGTGAATGGATAAATGGATAAATGGATAAGGCTGCCACTCCTTCCAGGCCAAAATTAAGGAACTCATCCACTTGATGCTAAAATATTTTTAAAGCAAAGAAAAAATGTATTAAAGTTCAACATAAAAATCTCTTTTGGTTTTTCAACCAGTATATTTCTTTGTGTTAGCCTGGATAAAGTGGGGACACAGGGCTTTGACTTGTCTTCCTTGCTGAGGAATTGAGTGCAGTTTCTGAAGAAACGAAACAAAACAAAACAGAGTATTTGGTGATCAAATTGGTGGACTGCGGCCCAGATTGCTTTATACTCAACCAGCAGTTTTCTTTCTCCAAGGAGTGCACACATGGATTGTGTTTCATGGGTGGGAAGCATTCTGTTTACCAGTGTGTCGTTCATAACCACTGGGTTCAGGAGTGCACAGCTGTGTTTAGTGACAGGCGAAGAATTGTATGCGACCCTGTATCAAGCAGATACATCCTTTCGTGTCTTCCTGGTGTCTTGGTTATGGCGGTGGCTGATCTTGGTTGTAAACTGGACGCATCTAGGAGGAGGGAACCACAGTTGAACAGTCTCCATCAGTGGGTGTGTCTGCTGCAGTGCTCATTTTTCTTTAAAAAAAAAAACCTCTACTTTATTTGGGGTGTTTAGGCCTCTACCTCCCTTCCACCAACCCCCTAAACCCTAAGCAGAAGAGAGAGAAGGTTAGCGGGGAGAGGAGGGAGACCCTTTACTTCTCCCAGCTGTTTTGGGGGGGGAGGTTAGGGCTATACCAATCACTGTCAACAGCAAATACAGCCAGCAATCTCCTCCACGCTGCTGTGCCAGGTCTCTCCAAACTGCCACACACCACACCAGGAACCCTGGAACACTCTCCTCTCCATGCTGCATGTGGAAGGCCTTACCAGCTGGCGGAAGTCATGCCTCGCACCAGACAATTAACAGCTGTGGACAAGCTAAAGACCAACTAAAACCCCACCCTTTGGATTAAAACAAAAAGATATTTTCATAACATCACTGAGTTTACAAGGAAAGTAAAACTCCCATTACAGCCTGCAGGGCAGTTCCTGGATAGCTGCTTTACAGAGGCAGGCCTACTCCACCACGGGTGTTGCCACTCCTAGGCAGGTGGTCCCGGGATGTATATGGAAGGTCCTTGAGCCAGCCAGCCAGCCACATTCTCTCATCTCTGCTTCAAGCTCTAGCCCAACTTTACTCAGTGACGACCTATGACGTGGAAATGTAAATCAAATAAGCCCACCCCTCTTCTGCACTTCTGTTAGTGTTATATCATAACAGAAAAGTAAGCTGGAACTCCCATCTGGAAACTTGTCATCCTCCTGCGTCAGCTTCTGAAGTGCTGCCTCCACAGACAGGTATCATCATGTACAGACAGACTAATAAGCATAAGGCATGTATGCCATTTCTAGGACTAGCACACAGAAACATCCAAGATCATCATCGTTGGCTATGCCTCCTCCCCATCCTGATCTTCTTGGATGCCTTTTGGATGTATTATAAGCACAACAATGGTTTTAATGTGCTTATTTTCTGTTTTATCTCTTCTGTTTCTATAACTGATTTCTCCCCTGGTTTCTGATCTCATTTCCTGCCCATTGTATGATGTTGTAAATAAAAATGAGTGTTGGGCTAAATATTGTTATTAGCCCTACTTCAAAAAAGGGGAATTGTTGGGTTTTGGTCTGATGCGTTCATATTGATGCTGGTTACTGCCTGGGTACACCTATCCTTGTTGTGTAAACCTACCTGATTGGCTGATTAAATGGCCTATACCTGGGCAGGGCAGAATGGGGTAGGCATAGCTAAGGTTTTTGGGATTTAGAGGACAGGAGAATCTTGGAAAAGAGACGGACTGGAAGAGAGGAGGGAGAACACCACAATGGGTTAGCGTGGAGAAGAAAACATGTGGGCCAGGAGGAAGGACTCCAATAATGGGGTGAAAAGGCCCAGATGAAGAACACAAGTAAGTATCTTAAGATTATGGATAGAAGGTAGCCCAGATAGGAATGGTTAAGGAGGATGGCATTAGATGGGGGCTGGGAGATGGATGGTGAGGTTATTGCCACAGCGTAGGTAAAATATCTGCCCGGCCCAAGGTAAATAAGGCAATTATAAAATCTAACAGGTGCCTGTGTCTTATTTGATTGTGATAGCAGGTTAAATAATACTGCCATAACAATCATAGGGAAAATAAGAGTAATATATAGCCCCACACTCATTTTTTTTTTTTTACTACAACAATATATTTTTTATGGATGCTGTACATTAGTATAATTTCACATTGTTGTTGATCATTTTATTGAGCTTCATTCTTACAAGTATTTAAATTACATTTTTTTAAATGTGGATGCTGGGGATCAAACTCAGAGCCTCAGTCAGACAAGACCTCTCCTGACTGAGCCATCTCCCCAGCTCCTGCTACTATATAGATGAAATTACATTATCCAAGAAACTATAAAGTAGTGTCACAGTGATTTTTAAAAGGGCTCTAACAGTACCTTTTGACATCCATGTTTATTCAGAGAATGAACCCTGAAAGTCCTAAATATCCAAAGGATGCCACAATCCTTGGCACCTACTTCAAGTCTGAGCTAGAAGGTTGTGGAAGAAAAGGAAACAAATGCACCCTTTGCTTCCAGAGTTGCTTTGGTTAGCATTTTGTACCACAGCAACAGAAATGCAAGTGAGAGCACCTAGGCTAGCCTTGAACTGGCCATCCTCCTGCTT